ACAGAACAGGTTTGCAGGATTGGTATACACAGACTCATATTAGAGAAAAGGTTCAAATTATACTAAGTATAGGTGCTAATGTTACAAGAAGTAATCATATTAATTGGCAACATAATTTAGACAGGATGAGAACAAATCATTGCAACTACTGCGAAGTCAAGATATGCTAGAAGCATACTAATAAGGAACAGGATCAAACATGCTATATAAGCAAGATATCATCACAGGAAATTCAGAATAGGATAGGAAACATACTTATGCTATATAGTTAATGTATACATTCATGCTTTTGAATACAATCAACTAGTCTACTAAAAGGGATACCAATCATATAAGTAAAGCGTGTTCAAGTAGCAGGATTGATAGAAAAATTAAACAACAAAGAGATGCAAAGGTCCTAAATATCAATAAGTTGCAACAAAAAGGCTACATAAGTTTGAAAGGAATCTAATTTACTCAAATCAGGTTTAGGCATGCTTTAAACTATTAATATTAAATTAAAAGTTAAGGAGAGCTAAAAATTGAAGCAGAAAAAACAGAATTGCACATAAAAATAACCCAGAAAAACACATTATGCAACAGGAGTGAAAACATATGCAAATCACAGATACTTTGGAATGAAACTACGAAGTCCAATAACTCACCAGTTAAGTGAAAAAACAAGAAAGAACAGAAGTCCACAGTATTCTGAATATCAACAAAGAACAAGAACCTAGAATTTCGGTGGCCTTGGCTTTCAGCCAGCCAAGAACCAAAGTATAGAACGAGATATTGAAGGAAAAACATAATAGAGCTTATAATTTTTAGTGAGATTATAGGGATTCCAGACTTCTTAAAGAGGAATAGGGAGGGGTTTATATAGTAGTAGAAATTAAACAAGGACACAAGGAAACACTGTAAAATCAAACATAAATAAGGAAGCAATAACATGCAGAATTAATAAAAATCAGATTTAGGGAAAAATAGGTAAACCCAAATTTTTAGGGAAAGCAAATATTATCAGAATATATACGAAAATAGTAACATAGGAAAAATATAGACATATAAAACTTAAAATCAAAGAATCGAACCAATTTTGGTTCGATCTAAAGAGATCTGAAAACTCTAGTTTTAGGGTAAGTAAGAATGAACAAAAATACACAGAGATTCGTACCCATAATAGAACAAAGGATGAATATAGACGGGAAAGCAGAAAGGTCAAGGATTTGAACCGATTTTTGTTCGATTTTGCTGAGATTTGCTTGCCATGTTTAGGCAAGCAACTAGGTAACACCACAGATGAACAACCAGTAGTGAGAGGAGATCAATAAGGTAAGTGAATCAACGATTAATTCCATCTTAGGGCCGGATTTGGAGAGGTCGAGAGATACAACAGCTATGGTTCATAGAAGAGGGTAAAGGATTCAAAGGCGGCGTCTGAGATGGAATGGTAGGGTTTGGGGTGGTTTAGGTTAATTAAAAGGAGGGAATAGATATGGGTCGTTGATCTCAAAGATCAACGGCCATGATTTAAAAGGTGGTAGGTCGGATTTATTTAGACGGGTTTGGACTGGGGTTATTGGGCTGGTGTATGGGGTATTGGGCTGGTGTATTAGGTCCGAATTTGGTTTTAAAAAAATGGGCTATTATTTAAATACATAAAATTTAATAAAATAATTTATAAAAATATTTAAGAAATAATAAAAAATATTATTTATGCACTAAAATGATTAAAAATAATGACTTAATATTATAAAAAGATATTTTCTGCGTAAAAAATATAATTATACACGATCATAGGCTATTATTGCAAAAATGTGCAATTAGCCTAAAATTGCAAATGAAATTATAAAAAATACAGTAAGATATTTAAAAACATACACGTTGGTGTAATTGATAAGTTTGAATAATTAAATCATCATAAAAATAATTTGAAGGATAATTATTGGATATTTATATAATAAAATGCAAAAGGAAATTAATTTAAAGCCCTTAAAAATAATGACAAATGCTTGTATAGGTTCATAAACTAGATGATGATGCAAATATTCTAGTTTGAAGGTATATATATATTTTTTAGAAATATGAGCAAAAAAATTGGGCATCAACAACGGCACATGTTGGGGCCAAGAAAGCCGAAACAAGAGTAAACGAAATCTTCGCCATCAAGCAATCCCAGGAGAGGGACTATGGGACTTCCTCGCCCGATTCAACAACATAAGGATGACCTTACCAAATGTGTCCGAAGGGATGGAAGCCGCAGACTTTCAGAATGGGTTGAGCAGAGAGGGTTCAAGAGCAACCATAAAGCTACTAAGCCGGTTGATGAAGTACCCTCCAACTACTTGGGACGAAATCCATAATGCATATTGTGCTGAAGTCAGGGTAGATGATGACGGCCTTAACGGACCAACTCGAAGACTCAACTTAGTACAAGTCGAGCCTAAGAAAGAACGAAGAGATAATATTAGGAGGGAACACCCAGTCTCAAGGCCAAACAGGGAATGACATCAGCCTTATGTCAAGGCCCCCGTATCTCATCCCTTCTGCTATGATGTTGGCCCATATAAGACGAGGATGGGGACTCACAAGAACGAGAGAGATATTCCCCTTTGTTATCTGATCACAATTTTTGTCTTTCGCCTGCAGAAATAGACTACGACCTGGAGAAACTCAGAACAAATGTGAAGTGACCGCCAAAGATTAGGATTGATCCAAGTACCAACAAATCTGACACCATCTGCGAGTTCCACCAAGAACGCGGACACAAAACAGAAGATTGCATCACCTTAAGGCAAGAGGTAGCAAACATGTTGTAGCAAGGGCACCTCAAAGAGCTGCTAAGCGACAAGGGAAGGAGCACCTTCGCCAGGGGTCGAGAGCGTCAAGGCCCACCAATGCCGCCCTCACCAGCTCGCACCATCATTATAATTATTGGCGGCAGCGACGATGCCTCCATCAAAGTTGTCAAGTTCACTTCCACTCATAAGCTAAAAAGATCGATAACCCATGAACGGTATGACGAACTAAAAGAAAGTATCATCTTCGACTAGTCAGATGCCGACAGTTTGACTTTCCCACATAACGCTGCTCTTGTCATTACTTCATGAATTTTAGATATTGATGTCAAACTTATCATGGTAGACGATGGAAATGGAGCATGCATTATCCATCCCCGAGTTCTTGACCAGATGAGACTCAAGGACAAGATAGTGCCACGTTGTATCACACTAACTGGTTTTAATAATACAATTGAACAAACATCGGAAGAAATTACACTCCCCGTCCTCACCGGCGGCATAACGCTGAAGACAACATTCCACATCATGGACCAAGCCGCCGTATACAATGGCATAGTAGGACGCCCATGGATACATCTCATGAGAGCCGTCCCCTCCAGCTTATACCAAGTGATCAAGTTCCCAACACTTTGGGGAATATTCAGCATACAAGGAGAACAACGCACATCACGAGAATGCTACTACATCTCCATGGATAGCATGACAACCCAACAAAATAAAGATAAGGAAATAGAAGCATAGCAATCAACAGGGTCAAGGTCGACACAAGAAGATACCAGGGATGTCATCATGGACCCCGATACGGTCGAAACCGCAGACTCAACTATAGAGGACCTCGACCCAGTTCGACTAGATTCCAGCAACCCCAGCAAAAAGGCGTACACCGGCTGCAAACTTCGAGAATCAAGTAAATTAGCCAATTTTTAATAACCAACGTAGATTTGTTTGCCTTCAGGAAAATATGTCGGTATCCCCAAGGAGATCGCCATACACAAATTGAATGTTGACCCATTCTATCCTCTTGTAAAGTAGGTCAGACAAAAGTTCAACCCCACCATCAATGATATTGTCTACTTAGAGGTAGAGAAGCTATTAGAAAATGGCTCTATCTAGGAGTCAAATATCCTAAATGGATAAACAACGTGGTGATGGTCAAAAAGAAAAATGGGAAATGGAGGATGTGTGTGGAATTCACATACCTAAACAAATCATGCACAAAAGATTCATTCCTGTTGCCATATATCGACCAACTCATTGGCACAACGGTCGGGCACGAGCTGCTGAGTTTCCTCGACGTATATTCGAGCTATAACCAGATAATCATGGAAGAAGAGGACCAGGATAAAATCACATTCATCACCCGTAGAGGAACATATTGTTATATGGTCATGTCGTTCGAGTCGAAGAACGCATGAGCTACCTATCACATATTATTCACAAGAATGTTCAAAGACCAACTCGGCAAGACCATGGAGGTAAATATTAACTACATGATGGCCAAATTCGTAAGGTCAAAAGAACATATCGACCACTTGAGGGAAGCTTTCGACATACTAAGATGGTACGAGATGAAACTAAACCCAATGAAATGTGCATTTGGCGTAGACTCGGAAAGTTTTTTGCGTTTTTTACTGTCACAATGAGGGATCGAAGTCAACCCACACCAAATCAAGGCTATTAACGGGATACTTGAACAAATGACTACTAAGAAGCAGGTCTAAAGGTTGATTGGTCGAATCGTCGCCCTATCGAGATATATCTCGCAGTCCATAATGCATATTGTGCTGAAGTCAGGGCAAATGATAACGGCCTTTACGAACCAACTCGAAGACTCAACTTAGTACAAGTCAAGCCTAAGAAAGAACGAAGAGATAATATGAGGAGGGATCACCCAGTCTCAAGGCCAAATAGGGAATGACATCATCCTTATGTCAAGGCCCCCGTATCTCATACCTTCTGTAATGATGTTGGCCAATATAAGACGAGGATGGGGACTCACAAGAACGAGAGAGATATTCCCCTTTGTTATCTGATCACAATTTTTGTGTTTCACCTACAGAAATAGACTACGACCTAGAGAAACTCAGAACAAATGTGAAGTGACCGCCAAAGATTAGCACTGATCCAAGTACCAATAAATCTGACACCCTCTGCGAGTTCCACCAAAAACGCGGACGCAAAATAGAATATTGCATCACCTTAAGTCAAGAGGTATCAAACATGTTACTGCAAGGGCACCTCAAAGAGTTGCTAAGCGACAAGGGAAGGAGCACCTTCGCCAGGGGTCGAGAGCGTCAAGGCCCACCAATGCCGCCCTCACCAGCTCGCACCATCATTATAATTATTGGCGGCAGCCACGATGCCTCCATCAAAGGTGTCAAGTTCACTTCCACTCATAAGCTCAAAAGATCGATAACCCACGAACGGTATAACGAACTCAAAGAAAGTATCATCTTCGACTAGTCAGATGCCGACGGTTTGACTTTCCCTCAAAACGATGCACTTGTCATTACTTCATGAATTTTAGATATTGATGTCAAACTTATCATGGTAGACGATGGAAATGGAGCATGCATTATCCATCCCCGAGTTCTTGACCAGATGAGACTCAATGACAAGATAGTGCCACGCTGCATCACACTAACTGGTTTTAATAATGCAATTGAACGAACATCGGTAGAAATTACACTCCCCGTCCTCACCGGCGGCATCACTCTGAAGACAACATTCCACATAATGGACCAAGCCGCCATATACAATGCCATAGTAGGACGCCCATGGATACATCTCATGAGAGCCGTCCTCTCCAGCTTATACCAAGTGATCAAGTTCCCAACACTTTGGGGAATATTCAGCATACACGGAGAACAACGCACATCCCGAGAATGCTACTGCATCGCCATGGATAGCATGACAACCCAACAAAATAAAGATAAGGAAAAAGAAGCATAGCAATCAACAGGGTCAAGGTCGACATAAGAAGATACCAGGGATGTCATCATGGACCCCGATACGGTCGAAACCGCGGACTCAACTATAGAGGACCTTGACCCAGTTCAACTAGATTCCAACAACCCCAGCAAAAAGGCGTACACCGGCTGCAACTTCGAGAACCAAGTAAATTAGCCAATTTTTAATAACCAACGTAGATTTGTTTGCCTTCAGGAAAATATGTCGGTATCCCCAAGGAGATCGCCACACACAAATTGAATGTTGACCCATTCTATCCTCTTGTAAGGTAGGTTAGACGAAAGTTCAACCCCACCATCAATGATATTGTCTACTAACAGGTAAAAAAGCTATTATAAAATGGCTCTATCTAGGAGTCGAAATATCCTAAATGGATAAACAACGTGTTGATGGTCAAAAAGAAAAATGGGAAATGGAGGATGTGTGTGTAATTCACATACTTAAACAAAGCATGTCCAAAAGATTTATTCCCGTTGCCATATATCGACCAACTCATCGGCACAACGGTCGAGCACGAGTTGCTGAGTTTCCTCGATGCATATTCCAGCTATAACCAGATAATCATGGAAGAAGAGGACCAGGATAAAATCACATTCATCACCCGTAGAGGAACATATTGTTATATGGTCATGTCATTCGAGTCGAAGAATGCATGAGCTACCTATCACATATTAGTCACAAGAATGTTCAAAGACCAACTCGGCAAGACCATGGAGGTAAATATTAACTACATGATGGTCAAATTCGTAAGGTCAGAAGAACATATCGACCACTTGAGGGAAGTTTTCGACATACTAAGATGGTACGGGATGAAACTAAACCCAATGAAATGTGCATTTGGCGTAGCCTCGGAAAGTTTTTGGGTTTATTACTATCACAATAAGGGATCGAAGTCAACCCACACCAAATCAAGGCTATCAACGGGATACCTGAACAAATGACTACTAAGAAGCAGGTCTAAAGGTTGACTGGTCGAATCGTCGCCCTATCGAGATATATCTCGCAGTCGTTCGATAGATGTCATAGATTTTTCGGCTTACTAAAAAAGGATAACATCATCCAGTGGACACCTAATTATGTACAAGCTCTGCGAGAATTAAAGGTGTATTTGTTATCACCACCTCTGCCCTCGAATCCTGAACTCAGAGAACACCTCCTCATCCACCTCCCCGTCTCTGAAGTAGCAGTAAGTGGGGTTCTGGTTCGAGAAAATAAAGGTACACAATAATTATTACATTAGTAAAACACCTATCAATAACGAGACAAGGTACCCACACCTCGCGAAACTGGCCCTGACACTGATCATAGCTTCACGAAAACTTAGACCCTATTTCCAGTGCCACCCTATCTCGGTCATTACCACTTTTCCTTTAAGAAGCATTTTACATAGACCCGAGCTATCGGGGAGGCTGGCCAAGTGGGCCATCGAGCAAAGCTAGCACGACATCACATATCAGCCTCAAACAACGATAAGTCATAAGTGCTCGTTGATTTTGTCACAGACTTCAACGCAAAGCTAATGCTTGAGGTCTTGAAGGAAGCCGCTCAAGCTTCTCTTCAAACACAAGACGTCTAAGTCCTATACACCGACAATGCATGCAATGCCTCTGGATCTGGACTAGGACTCGTACTCGAGGTCCCTACCAGCAAAGTAATTCGCCAGTCCATAAGATGCATATATATGACTAACAACGAGGCCAAGTATAAGGCTGTAATTACAAGGTCGAGACTAGCACTCAAATATGGGGTGAGGTGGTTGAAACTCTATTGTTATTCACAGCTCATAGTCAACCAAACTACAGGGATTTTCCAAATCATAGAACAAAGGTTGCAAAAATATCTAACCGAGATCTGTAAGTTGTTGCCACATTTCAATGAATGCCAGCTCGACCAGATCCCATAAGCCTAGAATGTCGAAGCGTACGGCCTCGCCAAATTAGCTGCAGCCACCAGAAGTATCACAACCGAGGATAAAAGTGTAGTCCACCACCTCAACTCGTCGTTAGACCAAATTGAGGTAAGATCCATAAGTTTAACTTGGAACTGGCGCAATTGTATTATGACCTACTTGTAGGAAGACACACTCCCAAACAATAAAATAAGGCTAAAAATTTAAGAATGCAGGTAGCCAGATACAGCCTCCTTTATAACGACGTGTAGAAGAGAATATAAAGTAGCCCTTTGGCAAAGTGTTTGGAACCAAACCAAACCCATCACGTTCCCGAAGAAGTCCATGAAGGCTACTGCAGATATCATTCTAGTGATCGAGCACTCGTTAGGTGGCTCATAAGGGCAGGATGCTACTAGCCCACCATGAAAAAAGATGCCTCAGAATTTGTGAAGAAATGCGAACAATGTCAGAAATACACCCCAATAATTCACCAAGTAGGCAAATATCTTCACTCAGTCACCTCTCCATGACAATTTATCAAATGGGGTAATGGACATCGTGGGCCCCCTCCTGGTAGGGTGAGGTAATGTACGATTTCTTTTAGTTTTAACTGACTATTTCTCTAAATGGGTGGAAGCAGGAGCATTCACCCAAACACGTGAACAAGAGGTAATCACATTCATATGGAAAAACATCATCTATCGATTCAGCCTGCCTAAAGAGATCAACTACGACAATGGTTCCCAATTCACAAAAAGAAAACCGCCGAATTCTTTGGGAAATGGCACATTAAGAAGATACTTTCAACTCCTTATCATTAGTGAGCAACGGGTAGGCAGAATCCTCCAACAAGTCCATATTAAACATCATGAAGATAAACTTCAAAAAGCCAAGGGACTGTGGCCGGATATACTCCCCAAAGTATTATGGGCATACAAAACCACCCTAAAGACTAGCATAGGAGAGACACCCTATTCTCTGGTCTACGGAACAGAAGTAGTTATATCGGTCAAGGTCGGTGAGTCCAGCCTAAGGTACACACATGAAAGTGGCACCAGCAAAGACGAGTGTAGAAGGCATGAGCTCGATGAGATCGACAAACGAAGAGACATAGTGTACATAAGAATGCTCGCCCAAAAGCAGCAAGCGGAATGTTACTACAATGAAAAGGCAAAGGTCCGGCCGCTCAAAGTCAGGGACTATGTACTCAAAGCCAAACCCAAGAAAGCAAATATCCACGAAAAGGAAAGTTGGGAACAAAATGGGACGACCCGTACAAAATTGTACACAAAGCAAACAAAGGTTCATTCCAACTAGACACAATGGAAGGAAAACAGTTACCAAACAATTGGAATATCAGCCACCTAAAATACTTCAACTTCTAAAAAGGAGAAGCGTCCCCTAAGTTGTACTCTTTTTTCCCTCACTTGAGTTTTGTCCCATTAGGGTTTTTCAAAGAGGTTCTTAATGCGACAACGGAAGCTACACTTCGAGTCAAAGTATGCAAAGAACGAACTGATTTATCTTTCATTGCTTGATTCCTCAAAACTCTCCAAGTCAAACAATGAAGGGACTAGATAGACCGATACATGGACTAGAATGCCAGCCAATGCCTAAATTTTGTAACTTTCCCCAATTATGTAATCAGTGCAACATCAAAGTAATAGAAACTTACGTTTATAAAACCTCCTTAACAAAAGTTTATGTTCGACCAAGTTAGAACAATAGTTGTCGTCCCTCGACCGCGATTTGACAAAATGTTAAGTTCTTCCCAGCTCGAACAAACACCTACCTTCCCTCAGCCTCAAGTTGACAAAATATTAAGTTCGGGCTAGCTCAAACAAACACCTAACGGTCCTTGACCATAACTTAACAGAAGTTTAAGTTCGACCCAGCTAGAACGAACACCTACCGGCCCTCAGCCACAACTTAACGAAAGATCAAATTCGTCTAAGCTCAAATAATACCTACTGGTTCTCAGCCACAATTTGACGAAAAGGTTAAGTTTGACCCAGCTCGAACAAACACCTACCGCCCTCAGCCACAGCTTAATAGAAGGTCAAATTTGATCAAGTTCAGAAAATGCCTATTGGCCAAATCTAAACAAAGAGACATGCTCGACTTATGTAAACAGAGGGCTGATATGGCATATAGATATTCGGCTCTAAGTCTACGACCAGTTAGAAGACAACAACAATAAAAAAAATACAGAAAACAAAACAATTAAACAACGGATGCTAAAATGTACAAGTGCAGAAACAAAATCACAAGAATACAAGAAGGTACAAGGAAAAACTTTAACACTTTATATGTAAATAAAGAGTTCTTTATAAAGGCTCTTGGAGACGCCGACAAAAATACACAAGGAATTTAAAAAGAAAAATATTGGTCATCGCTGTCACAGCCTTCAGCACTCTCGCCAGCTCCATCTCCAACAATGTCACCACCCTAACCACCAATACCCTCATCGTCTCGACCCCTAGCATCCTCTCCATCCTCGCTTTGAGGGTAAACAAAATCATACCATACGTCCTCATCAAGTCGATCTATGTCCTCTTTCCCATCCTCCTCATCAGGTCGAGGCGTAGCAAGGTCGTAGCCACAAGTGAGTCGAGCTTTGTAAGCCTTAACCTGAATATCCTCAAAGGCTGCCTAAAACATATAGCCTGCTGCATACAAATCCCAAAACACATCTAGCTGGGCCTTGACATATATCCACTTTTTGTACAACTCCAGAGGGACGTTGGGGAAATCAGAAGCATTAGAAGAAGAAGGTCGCGCAAGAATTTGGGCCCTCTAATCCTCCAGAGCGGCAACTCGGTTATAAAGGTTGGAATTTTCCTTTTCCAACTCCTCGATCCTCTCCTCGAGCCTGTCCTCTTTAGCCCTCGATGTCGACTGATCATTTTCCCACTCAGCCTGAAGAGTCTTATTCTCCAACTCAAGGATGTACACCTTCATCCGAGCGTCCAACCAAGAGGACTCTGCCTTCTCGAGCTCCTCCTGCCTCTCGAAAATCTCGCCCATGAGAGCCTTCGCCTGTAACTGGCACTCTTCAAGATGGATTCACAGCTAGACCATTTGGGCTTGA